CCCGGCGGCCTCCCCCATGGTGGGCTTCGGGGCCAACCGGAGGGGCGGCCGTCTGCCTTCCCTTCTCTTCGTGGCGCTGCTGGTGGTGATCGCCATCCTCGCCTTCAACTGCTGGAACGCCTCGTCCCGCCAGGCCCTGCTGCAGGAGGAGGTGGCGGAGCTGCAGAGCCAGGCCAAGCGCACCGAGGTGGCCCGGGGGCGCCTGGAGAAGAGGAACTCGGACCTGATGGGCAAGGTGGACTCCCACAAGAAGCAGCTGGAGCAGAAGGAGGCCGACTACAGCCACCTGAGCAGCCAGCTGCAGGCCAGGGACGGCCAGGTGAAGAAGTGCGAGGACAGCAAGGTAAAGCGGAGGGTGCAGCCGTGCCCGGGGCCGGCGGGAGGGTCCCCGGGCCCTGCGGGGTGGCTCTGCCTGGGGGGCGCCGGCTGCTCTCGCCTGGGGGTGGCCGGTGCCCTGCAGCGTCTGCAGCCTAGGGATGAAATAAGCCCCCGAAGGCACGGGTTTCTAGAGCTGGTGCGTTGGCTTTGGTTGCCGTCAGCTGGGACATTTGCAGTACGCTCGGGTTTCTGAATGCGTCCCCGAAGAGAGCTGAAAATGTCCAGCAAAGGCAGTGTCTGTGCTAACAATGAAAACACTGAGAGCTCACTGTTCTCCAGACGGCAATTTTTAATTTGTTTTGAGCTTTCCTCCTCTGCCGAGGTTATTTGATCTCAGTGATCAGCCAAAAAGCTATACACAGCCTTAAAACTACACTTTGTTTGGCCTCAAGGAAAGCGAAACACGCCTAACGTTCATGTGTAGCACCCTGAGCTCGCCTCTCTCAAAATGCCTGGCACATCAGGGTCTGGTTCTTATGCAGCCAGCATATACTTGGAAAAAAAAAATCTTGCTGCTGGCGTAACGTGTCGTTTTCATTAGCTGTGAAGAGACAAGCTAATACAAAATTCAGCTTGCCCTTTTATGTGGAGGTGGCCTGGGGATTTCTTTTGTTGTGGAAGGGAAAATGAGTGAATGCATCAACTTTCACTGTTGCACTTTCATAATCATCACAGGCGACTCTTTACAGAGGAGTTAAGCAGACAAGTTCTTTTACTCGGTTGGGTATGGTAGCGTGTACTCTATTTGCATGCAGTTCATAATTCTGCTAATTGGACACTGTTTGTCACAGTAGGATTTATGGAAATATCGCACTCAGGCTTATTACTGGCTGAGTTTGTTTTTCTGGCCCTTTCATATCACACGTTTGATGAGCAGTATAAGAAAATGCGTTCAATTGTCACAGAAAAATCTGAATACATACATGTCTCATTACAGAATTAAACTCCTTCAAACTGATTGTTTATATTAAAGTTATGTTTTCTTTCCTACTGAACCATTAAAATGAAGCCATTTGTGTGTTCAGCAAATGTGGTTTTTAAAATTTTTTTTTCTGAGATTGGACTAAAAAGCCTGATTAGATATGTAATGGTGGATACCCCTGCTCTCCACTGGAAATAAATGCAACTGACACCATTGTGATTAAAAATATTGTGATACTGTAAAATCTAGTTTAATTTATAAATAAGTATTCTATACAGACATCAGAATAGATAAGTCTGATGAGTAAGAGAAGCTGAACTCAAATCAAAGCAGTTAGGTTTTAACAAAGATGCTTCTCCCTGTAAAAGACAGAAAATGAGTAGTTTTCTAAACTGTTGGGTTTTTTGTTTTGATTTTGTTGTTTGTTTTTTTTTTTTTAATTGAACTTTTACATGCCAATAGAGGGCAAATAGGTTTAGTTGTTCATTGCCCTCTGCAATAAAAGCAAGCATCCAAAGATGGTGGTAGCTTGAAAACACAGGTGGCGGTCAGTCAGGGCACTGAGCTGGAACTCCCTTTCTCAGTTGTTGAGGATAGTAAGATAACATGAGTTCATGGCTAGACTGGACAAATTAACGGAGGAAGTCTGCTGAAGGTTGATAAATGCATTGAAACTGCCTCCAAGCTGCAGACTTGGGCAAGTGGCTGAGGGTATTCAAGGGAAGGGATGTAGGTGGGTGCTTGCAGCGTGGCTGTTCTTTACGTGGGTGACGTTGGTTTTGTGTCCCAGGTGTTTAGCCTGCGTTCGTAACGCAGTGCACTTGTTTCATGCATTATTGTTACTGGCTGAGAGGTGTAAAACTCTACTGGTGGTATTCAAGGAAGCTGTCAATTATTGGGCTGCATGGCGAGGCTTGCTTTTAATACAAGGAATTTGTATTTTTTGGAAATCTGTAGTGTTTTACTGTAGGACACCAGGAGACAAAATGCAAGTGCTAAGTCAGGGTGTCTCGCAAGGGTTACTGGCAGGCAGAGCCCGCTTCGATGCGTGGTACAGGCTGAGGTGCTGTGGAGCTGCACCTGCCTGCTGACCACTCTGCTGTTCTGCATAAATCTGGCTGGTCTTTGAACGCTCGCAGGGCAGAGCAGGAGGGGAGCAAGAGAAATGTGACTCGTAAACCTCACAAATTAATTTTGTTGTTAATTGTATGCGTGCTGCAGTATATGCCCTGTATCTTCGTTCTTTGTTCCAGAAGCTGCCATTTAAGGTCATGTGAGCTAGAGGCTTTTGAATACCCTCTCTTCTTTATTGTGCTCAAGATGTTCAATGTGCCTTAATAGGCAAGAATAGCAGTATGGTTTATCGATAACCAGTCACCGTCCCTTTCTCTTTGACTCTCATGTGAGCTACTGTCATGTTCTCAGTGGCAGCAATCCTAATGTTTTTCTAAAAAAACCAAACAAACAAAAACCAACCTTAAGTGACTGTACTTTAGAGAGTAGAGAATAAAGCTCTGTTTTAGACAATAAAGATCTGTTACAAAAAAAAAAAATAGTGAGTAGTAGGCATGAAGTGTCTGACCAGAAAAGGCTCGACTGATAATTTTTTTCTCAAAATAGAATTTGGCAAGGACGTTCTTTGAACAAACTGGTTTTTACCAATGATCTTAGTCCATTTGTGAAATGCAGGAGCTGTAATAAAACACCAACACTGGTAATTCCCGGGGTATCAAGTGATCGCAACAGATCTAGGCTTATTTCACAGAAAACTCATTTGAAAGATGCCACTCTGGTGGTTATCATAGTGTCAATATTGCTTTATGCTCCTTTGTCTTCATAGGAGATTCTTTGCCTTGTGGTCATGTAAATCAAGCGTGCATTTCCCAGTGTGGAGGCAACTTGAATTTCTGCAGGCAGCTTCCTCCTAGCTCGGTGATATCTGTAGCCAGGCCCAAACCCTCGTCTCTCTCCTCCCTCCCCCTACGTGCGTAAGAAGCCAGTCACACTGCACCAGAATATTGTTTGCTCTCCTGAGCAAATGTAGTAGTGTGACCTAGTGTCTTCGGTTTAAAAAAAAAAAAAAAAGAAAAAGCCGGAGTTCTTGGGAATTCTCTTCTCCCATCATCTTGTGCTCGTCTTGGTGAGCTCGTGATGGTCTGCAGGACCTTGGAACGCACCGGAGGAGTTCTCCTCCTTTGGAGCTCCTCTTGGGAGGCGAACGGGGATAGTGGCTGCCCCAGCGTTTGGGGAGGTGGTGCATGCAGGGTTAGCGTTGATTTCCTGAGCATTTCATGCTTTCTTGCAGCATACTGTGAGGATACTTTTTTTTTTTTTTCGTATCTTTACACATCCCTTTGCAATAAGCTCAATAAAATGATTGAATGGCAGGAGTTTGTGGTGGAGAGCTTCCAGATGGCAGCCATCCAGCGTGTAGGGGTTCGTAGCTCTGTATTTGCTATCGCAGCTCTCGGGAGCACGCCTTTCTCATCCCAAAGCTATTGCTGGTGATGCCAGGTGTGTAATACAGCCTTGCCCCTTAGCTGGTGCCTGGAAGTGGTGCCCCATAGGATGAAACTGTTTAGTAAAACATCCTTGGGAGCAGCTGGTTATGTTCTTTGTTGCCAGAACTCCTTGATAGCTCCTCAGTTTGCAACGCTGTAGCTTTACAGCGGCGATGTTGAGTGCATCTTCCACTCTTACTGCATGTTCCTGATGATCGGTGTCACCTCTGATGCTGCACTAATTGCTTGATGATAGCGCTGCCTGTTCTGAAAAAGGCAGTTGACAATAGCAGAAATCTGATGGAATTGTGGCATACGGACCCTCGTGCAAACAGGCTTTTAAACAGCTTTCCTGTGCTGTTCCAGCACGTGCCCTCGCAGCACGTTGGGAATGCCCAGGCTCGTCAAGCTGCACCGAGGAGTACGGACACCTGCTCGTGCTGCTTCGACGGGCAATTCGGAGGGTGTTCCGGCTAGATAAAGAAATGACTCACAGGGAAATATGGGTGGATGTTTACGGTTCACCACTTATTGCATCGGGAAGCAATACCACCTGTGCTCTGTCCTGCCATACGCCGAGATAAGCTCCAGCGTGTTTTTAACTTTTCTTCCTTACAGTGCCTTTCACTATATGACAAGACCATTAACAATTCAGACAGCACTGGAAGGTTGCCTTGCATGTGCGTAGCTCCAGCATGCACAGGATTGTTGATGTTTTTTTCCTGCGCAGAGCTCATTGGGCTACAGAGAATTTCTTTTATACGTCCCAACTGCTGTGGAAAGGATCTGAGAAGCCACTGAGGAACATGAACAGTACAAATAGGTCTAGACTCAAGGAGGACACAGCTCAGAAAGAACTGGACTTGCGCCATGGTTTGTGGAGTGTGTTTTTTTGCATGTGTGGGTGGAACAGATCCCATGAATCATAAAAAAGCTTCTTCCCTTTCTATCCTTCAGATGAGGGACACTTGCTGTCAGCTGAGCTGTTTTGGATATGAATTCTGTCGCTTTTCTCTGAAACTCAAAATTGCCAAAATGAAAGATTGCATGATGAAGCTGATGCTGTCTTCAAATCAAACTCTGTTAACAGACAGGCAGCCCTCCCCCAGCCCATTACAAGTCAAATGTTTTATAGGATGAGCAGAAGCAAGCAAGTGGGAAGGCTTTCGGTATTATGAATTCTGATAGATGAAGGTTTGAAAACAGAACCCGCTGCTTCCCAGGATCTCCTTTGTAGGTTATTGGGTTCTGGGAAAGAGCTGCGTTAGAGTGGAAGACGGGGAAAAAATTGGTCGTTATTGCCGTGGCTTTGCAAAATGGGGAAAGATACTTCTTCGTTAATGCTCAACAAATCACTCTGCATCTGTTCCCCTGTCCCGGTGTCCGTTCGATGGAGAGCGGGCAAGATGGGCGCCCGTTGGAATAGAAAGGCTTGGCGGCTGCCTTTGTACTGTGCTTCTGCGTGGAGTCCCCACCACAGGGGTTCCCTGTGCTTTTGAAATAAAGCACAGGAAGGTGCAACACAGGCTTTCGTTTAATTGAGTATTGTTCTTTGCATCCTGTAACTAGAGTGCCTTAAATGTCTTGGTGGGCAGAGCACATGTGTAATGGCTTCTCCAACGCACGGCTCTAACGCGCGGAGAAGGCTCCCTAAGTGTCCCTGTTGGGTGGTTTTATTTTGTATCGCATTTCCGAGCAGTATGGTCAGGGTTCTCAGGTTACCAAAAGATTGCATCATCTGCCGCTCTTTCTTTTTTTGGGAAAAACCTTGTGAAGTGGCTGGGCGTTCCTCCATACGGAGCCGTCGCGGTGGTGCCTCTCCACGCTCCAGCAGCCCTCTTGGCTTTTGCTCTCTGCCATGGGGCAGGGTTGGCTGCCAGCGCTGCCCATGTGCGCATCGCTGCTAGGGATGAGCCAGGACGCCGCAGTCTGGCACGCAGGGAGCTCTCGATGGAGCACTCTGTTTCATAAGGAGCCTCTATTATGTGACTGGAGCTGTTGGATGCGTGCCTCCGTGTACGCTGTGTTCTGCAGAAAATCACGATTTCGGCAGTTCCTAAAGTTATAAATGCCTGCCTCAACCCATATGGGACAAATTGAATCGGAGGGTCCAGCGTTTGAGTGCCTCTCTTAAAAACAAAAACATGATGTGAAACATTTTTAAAGAAAGGAATGCTTTTGATAAAAAGGAGGGTAGAGGTGGGTGGAGGAAGTCTTACAGTAAGGGCATATGTCTTTTTTGTTTGTTTTGGCAGGAAATGTAGGTAACTGACTCAGACATTGAGCTTCAGAATCTGTGTGGGAATTGAAATAGCCTCTGTGTGTGTGTGTGTGTGTGTGTGTATGTCTGTCCGTCTGTCCCGCCCGGCACCAGAGTAGGTGTGCTTGTACTTCATTTTGGTATTCCGAGAGGTAATTCTGACCTCGTAACCCAAGAATGACAACCCTCTTTCAGCACCCCGTCTAGAGTTACCGTTTATACCGATTGTGAAACTACAAGAAAAATAATTACAGCCTAAGTGTTGCCTGATGGCCGTGGATTTTTTTTCACCCTTTCTCAGTATGTCCTACATGTGCATCTTCCTCGTCATTTCAGCTATTTTTTGTCTTTACATATGTCTTTATGTAAGAACAAGACAAAGCATCCTTACTTAATGACTTTGTGTACATGCATTTCTTATTTATTGTAACTGCTATTTTTTTCCTTACTAAAAATACCAAATTAAAAGCTGTTGTGGAAGTCTACTGGTGTCAGATTGTCTCTTAAAAATAAGATGTGTGCTATGACTATTAGGTAGCATCACATAAAAAATTTACTTTAAATATACATTAGGTAAAAACTGGTTTTGCTCATGATGCTGCGTGTTTATTTTTATACGCTTCTGCTTTGACATTGGACATTCACTGTCTCCTCCTGCAGCATCGAATGCAGTGTGTTTATTTTAGTCCTGACAGAATCTACTCTTTTGATAGAAATACGTCCTGGCAATAAATTTAAGTCCTTCTTAGCAAAGCCTAAATACAGTGTTTAGGTTGGTGATATCACTTATAGATGACTAAATATACATTACTTGTATTCACAAGAACGTTGTATACGTCATTCTGATAATCCGTTACGTACGTTGTCTTTACGATGAAAACAAACGCACCTGAGCCTTGGCGGTCTAAACCCCCTCTAACCTGCTGGTGGTCTGTATTTATATAACCGTTTCTTCCTTTCAGATTAAGCTGCAGAACAACGTATCGTATCAAATGGCAGACATACATCGTTTAAAGGGTAAGGAATTTATGGCCAAACGCTGATTTGGCAGACTGTGAAGTTGTGTATTTTTAACTGCCTAGGTACTGCAGAATACATTTGAAATGAAAGATCAAGTGGTGCTGGAACATGGTGTGATGTGAAATTTCGTTATATTTGTTTATTACCGAGTCTGGATAGGTGTAGGGTTGGCTCTCGTAGACTTTGCTCTGCTGTCTGTGGAAGGAAGGTGTATTCTGGCACTGCTTACTTCCAAGGTACTAGAATCGTTTTGATCACCAAATACACAGTTTAGTACAGTTTGGATCCTCAACGTTGTGATACTTTACGCTGGGTTAGGAATGGTCCAGAAACTATCTTTTAAGGCTGTTCTAGACAGGCATGATTATAATGCCTGTAATCTTACTGTATGGGTTTGAGTGACCTGGAACAGCTAATGCCAAAATTCGAACGTACCTGCAGACACCATACTTGGCATTTCTGCCTGTATCTGTGTAGTTGCAACCTAAAATAGTAAGAAGCTTAACAATTATTCGTAGCCTGAGGAGCCGGGAGAAGAATTTCTCGAGCAATTGTGAAGACAGGAAATATATATTGGTTTTATGGGCAGTGTGAAGGTACCTTCTTCTGTACGCTTACTGCAGAAAAAGAATATTAGACCATCGTTCCTAAAGTAACCTAGTTGTACTTTTGTGTTACTCGAATAACAGAATCTTTCAGGAGATTTAAAGAGCTTTCCAACAGATAGGTGAAATAGCGTTGTGGAAGTCTTCTGAATGAAAAGGTAAAGAAAAACTTAGGGGTTTTGGCATAGTATCAGAAGAATTGTTCTATAATTCATGGTGACATCTGGCATGCATGAGTAAATCGGCGTCTTTTTCAAGTTAGCTTAAGAATCTTTAAAGTGTATCTAGAAGAAATAACGTAAAACTTGAGCAAAGTTTTAACTTCTATAGCAGTATTGAAAGTTGTATCTGCCGTGGGGCATTTTTTCTTATATTTCTGTATTCGTGTTGATTTTTGCTTTTTGGTCTAGAGCAACTAGCAGAATTACGTCAGGAGTTCATTCGCCAGGAAGATCAGCTTCACGAGTACAAGAAGAACAATACTTACCTTACAAGGAGATTGGAATATGATAGGTATGTCTTTAAGAATGTTAGTAACTAGGTTTGTGTGTGTGTAATGGAAGGCTGTATTTACGAAAAAGTGTAAATTAATCCTATTTCTGCTAATCCTCAAACTTGACTGTAGTAACTTGGTGATGTAGCTTTGACTTAGCTAGTTGTTTGATTTTAAAGTTTTATTTTTTTGTGTTGTTCTACTCCTCCCCCCAAAGTGAGCTACGATCTAAGAGAAATCGGACTTACTGGAATTGTTCAGCGTTGGATGATTTTAAGTCTGCATTTTTAATAACATGGAGATCTTGGTGAACAAATACTTGGAAGAGTTTAATCGACACAGTTCTGTAGGCAGCCAGGGTTATTAATTACACTTTTAGAAAGACAGCAATTTTATTTTTTTCAACTGCAGTTAAAAGCATTGTGTAGATTGAAATTTTAACTTGACCTCAGCCTTTTAAGTTTATAATGGAGAAGCAGGGAGAACAGCTACTTCTGAAGCTTTGAGGACTGAGGGAGATTAACACATGAGAAAATGTTTGAAACTTTCACACACGCAGAAATCTTCTTTGCTCTATGTGCTATGTTGAGTATTTGCAGATTTGTGGGAGACAGGAGTTTTGTTGGATTGCGTTGGTCTCTGTGGCTTGTTAGAGAAGTCGGGATGTTTAGCTGTGTCATTCAGATCTTAGTTAAGTTGGTAGCAGTAACCGATAGTAGTAGTTGTGCATCTTCTGTGTTGACAGCTGTGGGAGATAGATTGCTTTCCTAGTGGAATTAATATATGCTGATGACAGATTAACTGTGAAGCTTGACTTTTCGGTTGCTTTCCAGGTTTTGGAGGAAATATGTTCAAGGCCATTCTGTTTATTTTACTGTTTTTCTGCTCTGTCCCTATTTTTTCCAGTTCTGCTTTCTTTCTGTATTCAGTCCATTTCCACTCCATACACATTCCAGGACAAGGCTTTTTGGACAGACTATTCTAGTTATATCTCAGGTTTGGCTTTTTGTGCCACTTCATATTTTTTCCCCCTATTTTATTTATGGGAGAGCGGATACAACAAATGAAATAAAACTAATAATGTGTTTCTAATCAAGTCTGCAGTGTGCGCAGCAGATCAAGGAAATGAGACTGCAACATGAAGAAAACATAAAGAAATTAATGGACCAAGTTGTACGGGAACAGAAGGTAATGCGCAGCTAAGTTTCTTTGTTGAATTAGAAGAGCCCAAAGTCTGCTGTTTGTTTGACTCAGCATTTCAGATATATGGAGGCCTCGAGCATTTTTCCCCTAACTTTTCATTAATATCGTCCTGAGCAGCTCTAGATGGGTATTAGTGTAAGAACATCTGCCTGTTCTGCTCAGTCAGTGAACTGAGCCTTGAAGATCAGGCTTAATTCTTTGCTTTACTACAGCCTTCCTACATGACGTCATTGCTAAGGATTTCAGTTTCTTCTCTGTGAAACGGATATTACTTTATCGCTCTCCAGAGTAGGATCTATGTTCTTACGACCTTGCGCAGGTTATTGCAAAGGAGAACCTGATCTCTACTGAGGCCTCGAGGTGCTAATGTGATGCAAATAACAATGGTATTTGAAGGGTATCAAGGGTGTAATTATATGGTGCAAGCTGCCAGTAGAATATGGGCCTCTTTCCTACAAACAGATGAAATACCCTGCTTTTCTTAAAATCTCATGTCCTTGCTTCGTCTCTGTTTACAAACATTTCAAATAGTAAGGCAGACTTGAAGTAGGTTTCAATAGGTCTGTCTTAAAATCTAGAATTGTTTTAAAGTCTCTGACCTGAGGCTTAAGGCCTTAACCTGTTGCGTTATACTTAAGAGCTACATATGCTGATATAAATGTCATACAGCCGTGCTGTATTTTACATTTTCTGTTCAGTTATGTGTCCACGCTCTCGTCTCCAGCCCTCAGGATTCAGGTTTGTATATAGGAGACTTCTGCTGTTATTTACTTTGGTGATCATCTAATTCATAAATGGGATTTCGCTTACCCAAAGTAATCTTGAATTTGAGGGGGTTTGTTTTGTAATTTTCAGGGATGTGCTTAATATTGGTTCCTTATGAATTTGTTCTAACAGGCCACGCAAAAAATTCAGTCCAGTAAAGACACTGAAGTTAGCCCCAATGATGACGACCAGGCAATATCTAAGACTGTTCCAGAGGCAGAAGATAAAAACCCAGTAAAGAACGAGCAGCCTTCAGATCATGTTGTAAACGGCAAAGGTATTGCCTTTTTTTTGTCATTTCTGATAGGTAAGGTGTTGCATCCTTCGTGTCCTGGACACAAGTGTGTCCCCCCGTAAGAGTGGGGACCTTTGGTTACCAGGAGCTGTACTGGGGGCTCTCCGTGAGTGACTGTTGCCCTTGGTTCCTCCCTGTAGGCCTCGCCGAAAGGCAGATGGGTTCCCTTTTGTTTCTACTTCTTGTGCTGCTGAATCAGCACTTTTTTGTATCAGTTCAGCATCTGTTCTGGCCAGCTGCTTGCAGCAGGCTTTGCTTACTCCGCTACCAAGAACAGCGCATCTGTTTCCCATCCTTTTCTGAAGATTGCACTGATGTTGGGAGCACTGCTCCAAAGCAGTCTTCAGTGACTTCAACAGTGCACTAAGGAGTGTTGTAGTTGCGTTATCAATATGGGACACGTTCTGTGGATAAAGGACTTTTCTTCTGGTCTTAGAGCCTTCCGCGAGAGGGAAATTCTGTTCAAACTTAATAAGGCAGAATATCCTATTCTTGTCTTACAGAGAAAATCAAACCAGGAGGAGATGCCGGCATGCCTGAAATAGAAGATAATGACCCTGCTAAAGCTGAAGATACTCCCACTGGTGAGGAGAAATATTCTAATCCTTTCCCATTTGGGCTCTTGGTGGCATATATATTCTGTTTGAATACCGGGTGTTTCATAGTGAATGTAAAGTTTTAAAATCTGTCTATGGTAATAAAATTCAAGTGGGCTGTAAAATCTGGTAATTTTTACTTTGCTTTAGAGGTCCGAATTCTCAAAACTGAATGCTTCTGATAATATTCCCCCCGCCCCGAAATCTTGTATGTTACGTTTTCATCTGTGGTTTGGAAACAAGAAAACAACAACAAAAAGGTTTACGGGGTTGTTAGAGGAAGCATATAGCGTCTGTTTGTTTCATGTTAATGCTTTTGTCCATTTATTTTATTTTAGCTTTAAAGAAGCCGCTTATTTCAGCTCCTAAAAGCGAAGGTCATCAACCTGTTATAAATCTTCCAACTGAACAGCCCCATGCTCCAAATCTGGCACCAGGTAAAATTCTCAGGTCAACATTCTGTAGGAAACTTACCGTTTACCATCTGCTGCCATATCATGGATGTTGGGTGTAGGTGGCCAGCCCCTTTTTCCTGCTTGATGTGGTTGCAAAAATGAAAACAGCGATCAGTTTCTGCAGGGTACGAGACTGAGTGCGTTCTCAGTCTGGCCTCCTGAGGCACTGAGGCTGCTGGTTGCGCAATGTCTTTTTGTCCCGTCCCCCCCCCCCAATAATTTCTGAGCCTTTTGACCAACTTCAGCCAAATTTGAGAGTGAAAAGTTTCAAAGGTAAGTGCTTCAAGATTTCTCCACTGGACAGAGGAGGGTAATTGAAATTAGCACTTCCTTAGGGGTGCTAATTAGGGCTGCAGCATATCATTAAGAGTTGATTCTCGATCTGTTGGTAGCCAGTTATACTCGGAGATTGAACAGCAGTACTGTCGCTTGCTCAGTGTCCTCCTGTTTCTGCGAACAGCTCACTTGAGGGTGACGTGGGGGAGGGTTAGGACACGAGAGAACTAAAAGTACTGCAGTGAAAGGGTTTAGAACGATTGCAGCTAGAAAGGACACAAATCCATAGCAAATATACTACTTAAATTTAATGCTCGTGGATCGAGTCACTTTGCTTTAATGTCAAAGAGAACATTAGGTTATATCTGCATTGCAAGTGGCATGTTCAAATACTGTCCTGCTAAAACCCATTCAATATAACGTGCTCTTATAGATTTGTGACATGACCGAACAGCCTGAAGTTTTTTGTTATGCCCGTTATCGGTTCTTTTGAAAAAAGGCAACAGAAATATTCCTTCATTTCTTTCCTTTTGCAGTGGATGTGTAAGCAGATTAGAATATGAAAATTAGTGAGCTCAAAGTCTGTATACACATTTAAAGTTTATTATTTCCAAATGTTAAATCTTTGAAATAGTTTGTTTCTTTTTGTTGCTCTGAGGTAGTCCTTCATTTTGACTTTATAACGAGAAAACATAAAAGATGGCAAGCGAAAAGCTTGCTTCGTTGAATTTGGAGTTTATCAACAGAAGGTTGATGTGAATTTCAAGGGGACCAGAGTTTTCTGCAGTCCTGTGATTCTGCTTATTATTTTTAGCATAACTTCTGTGACCTACCGCAACCTTCTCCTCAGATCATAGCTCTTGAAACAATAAATGATGCTTAGTAGATTTGAAAAGCAGAATCAGCAGGAGGATAAAAAAATACATAAACATATTATTGTTCTGGGCTTCATCGAGCACTTAAGTACACACAGAAAATCAGCTGAGGCGGTAACGACTTAGGATTGATTGTGTATTAAAATGTGATGAATTATCTTTTGCGGTAACATTATAGCCGCCTTTTGGAACCATGTGAAAACCGAACACGCTTCCTCGTTCTGTAGGTTTGCACAGTGACAATGATGGAAATGCTGATAGTGTGAAGCAGATACCTCCAAATTCTCTCCAGCAATTAAATTTTGAAGAAAATACGGAAAATCAGGAAGAACACAAAATTGAGACAGACCATATGAAAATTCCAAAGAGCAGAGTTAGTGACTTGCAGAAGATGAAGCAAAGTAAGTTGGCCAATATCATATACTTCAACATATTAAGAAAATCACTTCATTTTCTGTCTGTAATAGTGCCTGTCTGGAAAATAGGAACCATTACAGCGGGTGGCCTTCTGGAGAGTAAACCTGAAAAGAAACATAATATGTTTCTGTGTAAAAGATGTGCCTTAATGTGTCATCTTTCATATATATATTCGGTCATTTAAAAAAATTCTTTGCTTGTAGGAATTTAAAATGCTGTTGGAAATTACTGCACGTGTAAATCCATTAGGTCAAGACTTTTGATACATGCATGATACTGAGTTACTTATGTCCACGCTGTATTGCTTAAGTACCATGTTTCGGACAACACAAGACTTCAGCCCTTACATAGGGGGTCTCGGTGGTGGTGTCTGTGGTTTGGCCAGAAGCTTGTTCTCCTGAGAGGAAGTTTCCCAGAACCCTTCTCTTCCACCTCTGCTGGAGGAAGAAGCCTTCAGACAGGAGCAAATCGCGTATTTGTTCAGTGTGCACGGTGGGGATAACGCTGCTGAGGCTTAGTGGGCAGACGGCAGGTAAGAACTCGCACCTACAGCTGTCTGGGAACTGTCGTTTTTGAGATGCGTCCCTACGTTGCAGCTGATGCCGTAGCATTGGGAGAATAGTATGCCCACAGCGTTTGATTTGGCATCTTCCTATAGGAACATTATAGTGAAACAACTTTCTTATGGTATCAGTGGCGATACTATACTCTTAAGCATAGGGTAGAGTATACTGACTAGGCATACCTTAACATCGTTATTTTTGAAGAACTAATTCCAATTGTTTAGCATTTGGGTGGGGAAGAGCCATCTGGAAGAAAAAACAGTGCCGAAACATCTCCTCTTGTTTTTTACCCAAATAAGATTTTTCTTTAATATATAGCTGTTATAAATTCAACTTTAAATTTCTTTGTACTCACAGCTAAGTAGCTTTCACTTAGGCTTTGGTTTCTATGATTAAAATCTGTCTGTACTCCAAGCTGACGAGTTATTACATCAGAACAGCCATTTTCAGAGTCACAAAAACTGGGAGGAAAAAAGGTTTCTATAGCCTCGTGCCAGAAACCTGTGTTAATTCTGTGGATGGGATAAACAGCGGTACAGAAATAACAATTTTGTTGAAATAAAATTGTGAATTGGCTTCAGTGATCAGTGAAAAGAATTCTGAAAGCTAGGGTCGCTCTCAGGAGCATGAGGCTATGAATTCATTTTTGTCATAAAAGGTTCAGTTTGGGAAGTTCCCTCTGTTAGGGAACTTAACTTCTTAACTTCTTAACTCTAAGTTGTTGCCATTTCTTTTCATGGTCTAGAACCTGACTGGCACTTCTGTAGCTTGGAGAAATGGCAGGGAAAAAAGCGTTAACTTCTAGCAATCTCTTAAATATTCCTTGAATAACAGAGAAATAAGCTTAATGCTCCACTTATTCTTGTAAAGCGTTTTAGTTGCTCTTCTGAAGCAGAGGTTAAGCTAAAACGGGGCCTGTGAGCATACAGCCAGATCTGCTGGCGGATGGCTGCAGGGTGTGTAGTGGCGTACGGGGGGTGCAGGGGGTACAGGGGTGGGGGGGCTCAGTGTCCTCTCTCCTTCTCCCTCCGCCCCCTCGTAGCCCCCCAGAGGGGCAGGGGCTAAAGCCTGTAGAGGTCTAGAGACCTAGCAGCCCGGCTTTGGTACTGGAAAGGTAACTGGACGAATTCTCAATCAGCTTGAATATAATACGACAAGTGGTTAACGGGGGTATTTCAAGAACAGATCGTGTCAAAGTGATATGATCTGAAAAGTACGTATTCAAAAACCGGAGTGTGACTTTGTCGTAGGCAAATTAATAGAGACCTGGTCAGGAATAAATTGCTGTTTAGTGGGGGTGCACAACTTTAAGAAGAGAATATTCCAAGCACAGGTATCGCTAACGGTTTTATTGGAAAAGCTTCTGTGAGGTTTACAAGGATGCATCTTTTGCTTGGCCCTGTTTGCTATTTTGAGTGCTGGATGATAAACAATGCATGAGATGTGGTTTCAGCAAGATAAAAGTTTGTAAACATCAAAGTAGTCTGCAATTAAGAATGGAGAGTTGTATGTAATTCGGTGTACGTAACTCATACGCAGAGTGAGTGACAAACGGCAAGTGCGCAGTTCAGTCAAAGCCGAGGTGGTCCGCAGCGGGTACTAGTCACTAACAGACCTCTCAGGTGAGGTTTTTCTTCTGGGATGTGTTAACAGGAATGTCAAACAATAAGGTGGAGTAACTAACTCTGTTGTACCTAGTGCTTGTGAGGCTGTCCTCTGGCTTTAAATATCAAAGATGATGGGAAGCTGGAAGGGAATCAGGGGAGAGGAAAAAAAAATATGGGGAGGGGGAAGCTCTAAAAAGACCAGGGTTGAAGAGGTAGGGAATGGACATGAATTTACTGGGTATTTCTTAGAAACAGATCTTTAGGGAAGGCTTCAGTTATTTTAATCTCTCTCATGGATCTTTTTGATAAAGTGGGGGCAGGCATATTCAAAATGGGCATGCAACCTGCGCGAGCTTCTCTTCCACTCTGCGGATCCTGAGATGTGCAAGAGTGTTTAGTTTATCAGAGGAGCTTCTTGAAGATCCTGCGCTTCTCTGGCTGAGCGACTACAGCTGAAACGACAGAGCTTCCCTTTCGGTTGTTGGGGTTTTTAAATGGATTGGCTGCCTTCCCTGGTAATGGATTAGATGATGGGGGCTAGCTTTGTAGGCGGGAGCAGTGCCTGAAGTGTCTCCATTGTAGGCTGCGAACGGGTACCCAAGGGTCAGCAATCATCCCAGATCGGTCTTTTCCTTTTCTCTTTGCTCCTTCATATTTGGAATAACTTACATTGTACGTGGTACTGATGCAGCGAGGGAGAGAATTTCTCTGTCGTGTATGGAAGTAGCTGATCCAGTTTGTAGAAGATTTATCTCCCGGCTGATCAGCCGTGGGTGTTCTGAAAGGTCCAGCGGTGACCAGTTCATCCCCCGGGTGCAGAGGAGCCCAGCTCGGGCACGCAGCTTTCACTGTAGCCCATTCCCTGGCTGCGGTTGTGGTTACTGGGCGCCTCAAAACTTGCTGGGCGTCAGCCCGTGGGATGAGGCGGGTACCCATCACTGGTCAGGGTGTCTGTCATCGCTGTACGGTTTCAGAACCAGAGAACTTCCTCCCAAAAGATGTTTTCCTTTTTTATTTTGATAGCATAGGTTTAAAAAGTAACTTTGGTACTAGGTATGGAGATGGGCACATTGCGGCCATTGCCTTTCAAAAGAAGCAGGACCTGAAAGCGACTGCAGCGACGTCGCTGTTTGCGCTCTTACCTGGCACCCTGGAAAAAACCCTGGGTGCAGAAACCGCCAGTCCCTGCTGCTGTTTCAAGCTGGAAGCAAGCCCTTAGCGATGGGTGTGCGGACAGCGGCTCTGAGTAATGTGTTTGTAAGGATCCAGCTTTGAGTAACGCCCCATATGCCTGTTCAGAATTCATCTCAGCAAGTGTGACCGGCAGATTTTGGCATCAGTGACAACCTTACGGGGCATCCCGTGCTGTCACTAAGCTCCTGTGCTTCATGACAGCGCATTCAACTGTGCCCCAGGTAGTCAGTCCGCGTAACGCCTGCCTTGCAGACACCGACTCACGTTTGGAGGGGTGTGAAAGATGCGCAACGCCATCGAGGTTCCAGATCTCTGTCTGTTGCAGAAAGCAACTGGTGCGTTGCTGGCTCCAGCTACCAGCAACTCCTGGTCTGGTGCTTGCCTAAAGTCTTGGGATGCCAAGACCATTACCTATGCCTTGGGTTAGAGTATCCGATGTTCTCCTGGCGTTGGGCGCGAAGTCATCTACTGCCTAAGTCTTCTGTACGCCTGACTGCACGCACGGGCAGCGGAGCTGCTGCCAAGACCGCCCAGTCCCAACCGACTGCTGGTGAGGTTTGTGTGCGCCCAGGGTCTCAGGCTTCCCTCCCTGGTTTTGAAGTAGCTTGAGCTAAAATACCAAACGCTTAAAGCAGGGAAGCTGCATCCCGAAGCCGTGCTGGACTCCGAGCTCGCCGGGGCTGTCCAGGGCGCAGGGCTGCTCCCGCGCGCTCCAGCTCCCAGCCCTGCCTGGGCTTGCTGTGTTTCCTAGGGTCTCTTTCTGATATTTTAACCTCTCCTTCTGTCAGCTTAGATTTATTCAGTACTTGTTTGTCCCAGTATTTCCGGTGTATCTACAGGCTCGGTTTTTCTGTAAGTTAAGTGCATTCAGTTGTCTTTCCATAGCTTGTTTTATATTTAACGTGCAATTGTACGGTTCCGTCTCCTTTTTATATATAATGCAGTGTCCAAAAACACAACCAATAATAGCAAGGATTACTCAATTAGAGATGAATAGAGAATGAATAATATATTAAACTTCTGATTTGTAAACAGATCATAGTTTCTTCTTGCTTATTTTATGAAAATAACCGAAACTTCCATTTCTGTACATTTGAGCTGCACTAGATGTGATTCTTCTGCTTTTCTTCCCCATCCAGATCAGCACTATGTTATTGTTCCTGTCCTGATTTTATATACTGCCGCATGTGATGGTTTTCATTGTTTTAAGAAATAATTTCATTTTTACATCTGTTCATTGTAACCCCGATCTCCTTTTTAATCCTAATGTTGAAATCGTATTTCTTCAGTTTTACTTCCCTGCTTAATTGCTTCCACGGCGACTCACCTAACATCTGCCTTGGCAGACTTCTTCCTCGGTCCCTTTCCAGTCTGTGGAGATCGTATCGCACTTTAATCCTGTTTTTTCATGTATACGTAATCCCTCCAGACTTGTGTCCTCTGCAGACTGAGTGTTACGTTCCTTAAGCAATGGGCAATCAGACTCAACTGCATGGGACTCGAGCAGATCTCCTTGTGTCCCAGTAAAGACCAGCTCTGAGCTGGACAGTGCGCCGTTAACCTTTCATTGTGCGCTTGCTTGGCTGCCTGGAACTATTCTTAATTCTTTGCTGGGAGACAAAAATACTGAAGATTCAGAACGTTTTGAAAACTCTTAAAGCTTAATAGGAAACGAGAGTGCAAAGGCAATTAATTAAGTAGTTAAAAAAATCAGTTCAGAGGTGCAAGGCAGATCTGGGCTAGATTGTTACCCTTGACAGTATGGTACGCGCTCTGCAGACATCACCGTATACGACATCAGCGATGTATTTATTGCTCTGCTGTGGGTAGAAACATGCCCGTCCTCCTCGGAAAAAAGTCGAAATACAAAAACTTCCACTGTATGCTCGTCAGCATTTTAAGAAACCTTGTAGTAGCATTTGTAGGTAATCAAAGATGGAGCTTTTTGTTTGGATGCTTCCTCTGGCTCTTTTCTCCGAAGAGCGGCGCCTGTAACAGTCGGGTTTCACAAGATCCACACGCTGAACGCCCGAGTACGCCCTTTTTGCACGGAGGTGTCCCCCAAGCCGTGGTGTTCTCCCCCTGCCCAAGCCCTCTCCCTTCCACCCCCTTTCTCCTCCAGCCGAAACTGCTACCAAACCCGACTATCTTAACCCGCGCTCCGCTTTCGTTTAGAATCTTCCTGTTTCTTTCCTCTCTGCTTCTGACTTAATCCTTTGCCTACTTCACAGGCCGGTTCTTTGATGAGAATGAATCCCCTGTTGATCCGCAGCAGGGTTCTAAACTCGCAGATTATAATGGGGATGATGGTAACGTGGGTGAGTATGAGGCAGACAAACAGGCTGAGCTGGCTTACAATGAGGAAGAGGATGGTGATGGTGGAGAAGAAGACGTCCAAGGTGAGCTTGGGCCTTATCTCCATCCCATTGTGATAAAATCCACGCTGAGTTTACTTGTTGAATTTGTGTAAAGCCTCGCTATTTTTAGCTGATTGAAAATTTCTAATATAGAATAAATAAGCTTTAGGCAATCTTGAAAATTCGGTCTCGCTCTCCGTTGGAAAGCAGTGTTACAGCAGTTCTCAGCGAGAGGATGTTGATGCCTTGTTTCAGTGGTGTATACGCTTTCTGCTAGGAAGATCAAGACACTTCAAATTTCAGAAATGGTTTTGTCTACAACCCCAAATCTACTCTCTAGCTGGTTGGGGTGTAGTCTTTGACATTGCTAAAGCAGTTTCCAAATACAGAACTGTAGTTTTTTGACTACTGCTTTTGGCACACCTGCCTTGAGGCGGTACGCAGTGAGCTCTCCGCAATTCTGAGCGTCATTTCCGTGCGTTGTACACAGATTCAACAGGCTTCTGGTTTTCCTCGCTAACCAAACTTCAAAGCTCATCAATCCGGTGCTAGCCTAATTCCCGTACGTGCATGTTCACCGCCTCTCGCTCTGCATGCCTTCAGCGCATCGCCTCTCCATTCCCTGCCTGCCGTCTGTCTGCCACGGTGTCTGCCATCCTCCATCTAGCTGTTTGGTAATATTTTGTGGAAGGCTCGCATGTCTGTAGGGTGAAAATGTTTACATACACATACGGAGTATTTCCAGTTAAGGAAAGTGCAAAATAAAGAGGGGGGGGGGGGAACCAACAACCATGATTTAAGTTCTACAGGCACCCAGGTTTGGATCCTCATAAAGTAAGTTTTTTAGCTGGCAGTTTTTCAGATGTATTTAATTGGTATCCAAGCATAATTAATGGGAAAAGCTGATAAAAAGCAACTGATTTCTGTGGGCATGCATCTAACTGTGCAGCGTAAGCATTTTTTGGCTGGGCTGGTAGTTTGAAACTCATGAACAAGCAAAAGAAAAGTATGGATTGGAACCCTGGGCAATTAATTAACTTACTGATAAAAATGAAAACTCTGCTGCTGCTCCAGAAGATGCGGCCTGTTGTGTTACACTTCTGCTCAAAACTGTAGCAGCGGGTTTTAGTCACTCGGGATTGCTGACGTCCGCCCCTCTGGATGGGTTGTTGCTGGGTTGTAATCCGCTTGTACGAGCTAGCTTCCCAAGGAAGGTACCGAAGTATTTGCAGCTGCTTCTGTCGATGCTGTGGAAGCAGGAGGCTCGCGTCCAAGGGTTACGGCCTCGTAATGCAAAGGCAGGCGTGGTACGTCGTGCGCGTTCGCGTGCCTACGCGCTGCTCTGCAAACCCAGGCAGTTGGGCGGGTTGGGTTTTTCATGGGTTTAGTTCAGTGCCCCTTAGGAAGCAGCGGGCGATGCCTGGCTCCTCACCACCGTCGTGCCGTAACCGGACGGGAGAATCCGATTCGTGACGTTTTAACCAAGGCCACGTGGCTGTTACCGAGTCTGTGCCAACTTCCACCCTCTGCCTCCCCAGCCGTCGGGCTCATCTTCACCCGCAGCCGGTGCGGTGCCGACCGGGGGGCGGGAGGCGGCGGGAGGAGGCCGGCTGCCCGCGCGGCACGGGGACGCAGCTCTCGCCGTACCCGAGAGCTCCGTCCTGGTGTGCTTATCGGCACAAATCCATTGCTGCGGCGGCCTTTACAGGGAAACGGAGGGCTTTGGGCAGCGAGGGTTAACACCCTGTATGCTGTAGGCCGTTACCAGTAACCTGCACAGCGTTCCTGTGCGCCGCTTCCGAAAGGTGGGTATAACACAGTAGTAAGTGGTGGAAAATTGTTAAAAACTGTGGAGATTGGGCTTACGGAGCTTGCTATGCCAGGGATGTTTGAAAAAATAAGAGCTGTCGCTGAAAGTGGCCTCAGAAAACGGGTTCCCATTTAGATGGGGTTCCTGTCAGTCCGTGCTCCAGTGGCTTTAAATTCGGACTGGGTGAAAATCTTTTTTCTGATCAACCCCTCTGTATAGGTGTAACGGACTTAATATCTGGTAGGAAAGATTAAGGAGTGACTTCTGGAAGCCTTTTCATGAAGAACAGCCGGGGCAGCCTGTGTTACCACCTCAGGCTTCATTTTCCAAGCCCTTTATGTTGTTTCCCAATAACTTGTTGACTCGATTTGAGAGAGGAGTCATACAGCGTGGCAAGCGGTCCTTCCAGAAGCAGCATTTTACAAAAAGCGTCTGCTTTAGTCTTTCCACTAATTTGTTTGCAGGGTAGGAGAGGGTAGAATTGTGGGGGTTTGGAGGGGGGGTGGCTGTAATTGTTTAGGGAGGAAAAAAACCCGAATTTCTGTCTAAAAACGATTAGAAAAACATCACATGGTTTTGCATCAGGCCAGAACAAAGCACGTGGCATGTGCAAACAAAGCCATTTAATTAAACATGTTCTTCTGTTGCCACTAGAAATGTGTGGGCCTTCGATTGAAATTATCAGAGGAAAATACACAAATTCGGGAGCTCCGCTCCCAGGAATGGCAGTATCCATCTGGCATTCCTTCTTTCAGTCCGCCTGTCTGAAATGCGAGGTGATATTTAAAAGTTGTTGGCTTCTACTACAGTAACGGTGTCTTTGTGGCGGCTGGACGGCGGAGGATGACATAAATCCAGTGACACCCGCGTGCTGCATTCGTTTCTCGCGGCACGAAAGCCTGCGTCGCGCGGGCGGGTCGGTAATTGTTGTAGAAGCGCTGAGGCGCTCCGGACAGCTTTTCCTCTAGGAAAAGGCTTGGTACGCTCGCACTTTGTTTTCCATTCCTGTGAACAAGCACCTTTCCTGGGTATAAAGGAACACAGCCTTGAAAGGCAGCCAAAGCTTAGTAATTGAAACGACCTGAAGTTTTCGGGCTTTTTTATTTATTGAGGGGAGAAGGCTGGGGAGCCGCACAGGAGAGATCTGAGTTATGGCAGGTAGAATGCAGAATATAATACATTTTAAAACATCACTTGGAAAAAACACTGAATGTGCATTTTCTTGATGGATTTTTTTTGCGTGTGCTACAGTAAATGGCTATACTGAGGAGGCACAAGGGTTTTCTAATTTTATGCTTTTTCATGAGGCTCACAAACCAAACCCCAAGGAGCAGAGGTCGCGCTCCTGGCCGGGCACGCAGCTGCTCTGCCGTCCGAGGGGCGACGTCTCCACCGCTGGGCTGAGCGTCTGTCGTGCAGGAGCCCGGCCAGATGGGTTTGCCTCAGCTGTGAAGAGTAGCGGTGAAAAGCATATTGTTGGTCCTTCAGCAGGGCTGAGAGAGACCAGGGATCTCCGCTGATAAGAGGTTTGAAAAGGTTGAGAGCTGCCTTCTATGTTTTTAAAAGCCTCTCCTCAAATTTTACCCCCAAGTCCGAGATGGGAGGTAGCGGTATGTCAAAACGTTGACAGCAAAGTCAACTCCAGCATTGGTAAAAACCCCATCGCTGAAACACGTGCGGTGCCACGTTTGTGTGGAAGGGATCGTTTTTCAAATCTGAGTAGGTGGAAAAAGTATTACCTTGGTCTGGAGGGGGCCGTAGGGACTCTCTGTGCTCGTCCCACGGGGTGCCCAACCTTTGTGAAACCGTACGGTGCATTCATTATCCAGAGTGGGTTAAAAACGGCAAGGTAACTGTCTGAAGTAGTTGAATCTGTGGTTGGGTTTTAGTGGGAGAGTTTGAAACCTTGAAAGGGAGATTCCCAAATGACAGCAGTAAGTTTAAGTAGCTCTACAATCTCTTAAGTCACAACATCCCTGAAACACGGCAGCAATACAGGCCCAGCTATTCCATAGCGTGAGGTCCCGGTTCTTCACGCGGGCCGGCTCCCCGAGCGCTGACGGCCGGACTTGCCCTCGCAAATTCTCCCCGATGACTTCGTTGCCCCGACCAGACGAGGCCGGTTCAGTGCGGATGGATGCGTTAGCAGCAGGTTCTGGGAAAGAATGTTTAAATGTTTGGGTTTTGGGTTTTTTTTTTTTTTCAGTAGTACCACATCGGATTTGATCTGAATATTTTAATTACAGATGATGAAGAGAGAGATCTACAAAACGACCTCGTCGATTATGGCAAGCCCCGCTTCAGCGACGGCGTTCTCTAAGGCTGGAATTAAGGGGGAGGCGTGGATGAGAGGAGAGCTCTGCTGAGGAACTTGAAGTGCTGCAAAACTGAACCATTTTTACTTCGGTGTTTCTTACTTTAAAGGAAGCTGATAACTAGAAGTGATGAGTATGCTCCAAGTCAGCGAAGTGACGGAAGGCAACAGTTCTGTACATATGTACATAGCTGTACTATTGCAGATTGTATTAAAACTACATTTTTGTTGTTACATTGAGCCAATTACTTAGACTGTACCTTATCTGTAATAATCTTTACATTTAAAACCGATATTATAAATACGGGCTGAATTGTTTCTGCAATTTGGAAAACTTTGTAAACTGGAGCACTTGTACAGTTTGTATCTCATGTAACAAACACACTGTGGAAGCAATGTACAGCCAAAGGACTCCTTTTCTACAGTCGTACCCGTATGAGCAAAAATACTCCTGCTTTTCTTACGAGTGCTGTGGTTTCGTATTTTGCAGGTGAGCTGTCAGTTGAGAGCGAAAACGATGTTTAAAAAATGGCTCCTTCCTTACTGTAACGGAGGAGCGGCTGTGCCAGTCTTCAGAAGCAAGTACCGTTTTAGTTCTCCTAGACAATGACCAAATCTCGTAGCTAGCGCTGGAAGTCGGCGATATTAGAATTCAAATAATTTGATGCATCCTGAAAAAGTTGTGTAACTAATAGCTTATTTTAAATGGTAAGGTAAATAATTCAGCACAGCTTGTAGGAAATCTTTCTGCACGTGGTAAAGAGCGCAAGTGTTGGTGAGAAACAGGCGCGTCCCCATCAGCTTTGCAGGAACCTTCGTGGCGGGATGGGCCCTCGGTAACGCGGTTTTCCTCGCGGCGGCCGCTCGAGCTCGTGCACGGTGCAGTGCTTCGATGCGCAGCTCTGAACGCCCGCCACGCTCCACCTCTTGATTGCCTACAGCCGAGGGTTTGTAAGTTAGGTACTTTTTGTATTCTGTGTTTAAGCACTTTCTGAATCTTATGGAAATGATTCTGTTGACCTACAGTAGTGAAAATTAAGGTTATTAACCCAACCTGCTTCTCCCAAAGGGCTACTGTGAAAAGAAATGATAGGGCCTATGACATGGGTGATTGTACTTCATCGCTGAACTCAGGTTCCAATCTGAAGTAACAGCTTAAGGTTTGCCAGTGCCAATCCGGTGAACCTTTTAAATACATTTCAACGGTCATACAATTCTTTTTTTTTTTGGCTACGGGGATCTTCTGCCAACTGGTCTTAAATACACGAGAAATAAAAGCTTCAGATTCTGGTGGCAATGCATATCAAGGGGTTTTTGTTCAAGGCTTGAGCTCTTCCCTCCATAGGTCTGGGGAACAGCCCTTTGCGTGCTGCGAGGGGCTCCCAGTTGAAAATAAACCGCTGAACCTGCTCGGAATTAGATGCCGTACTAATCCCACACAATACGCATAAACTCGTACCAGGATTCTAAGAATAGCAGTCTTCAGTAAATACTGTATTTAAGCACTGCAATTTTTTGTTTGTCTTAAAATGTAATTTCACCCTGAATTAGGTGTTAACTTGATTCTTCTAATGAAAGCAACATTTATGGGTTCTAATAAATTCAGTTGTTTAAAGTATGCGAGGCTTCTGGCTTTTTTTCTTTTGACTTTTTACGATTGGATTAACTGGGGGCTTCACCGAAGCCGAGGTGTTTTGACCGCGGTTACCACCCGCGGACGGCCCCGCGTCTGCTCCCGGCCTCGGGGCCCGGCGAGCGCTGCGGAACGGGAGCTGGGGCCTTCGCGCCCCGCTCGCGTCTCCGTGGCCCTGCCGCAGCCTGGCCTCACCCTTCTGTCCCCGTAACCAGACGGGCCGATGCTTCATCAGATTTTATTTTAGCTTCTTGTCTTCTAGAATATTAAACCCTTTCATGTTATTTCTTTGACTCGGTACAAGCGTGGTGCTTTTGAAAACAACAGACCGAAAAACCCCCTTCTATATCAAAAGCAGTTCTGCTGCGTTAGTGCGCCGGGGCGGTTTCGGTGCGTTCACCCTCCCGGGCGAGATGGGAAATGACGGGAAGGATGAAGGATGCCTTACTGGGTTTCGGCTCATTCCCGTTTTCCCTGGAGCCTGGGTACTGCTGTCCAGGCTACAGAACGACATCAGGGGGCCTTCCTAGGCAAAATCATCAGGTAACTGATGGTGGGAGACAGGTGAATTTTATAATTACAGTCTTGCTGTAACTACAATCAATTTCTTATTTAATATAACTTCTCTTGTTGTTTTCTTTATGCCACAGGCTGGCTCTTACTTTACGACAGTCCCATGTTGAGATTCTTTAGGTCCAATGACAGTAAAAATGAAAACGGCACTCATCCTGCCTTTCGGCGCCTTGCTAAACCGTTGCCTGTTAACTGCCGTATCGGCTCCCCCATGGCTGCCGCGAGCCCCGGAGGGGGCCGCAGTGAGCTCGGGGGCCGCAGCGAGCTTGGGGACTGCAGCAAGGTCGGGGGCCGCAGCGAGCTCAGGGGCCGCAGCGAGCTCGGGGGCCGCAGCGAGCTCGGGGACCACAGCAAGCTCGGGGGCCGCAGTGAGCTCAGGCTCGGCGCCTGCCTCGCCGCTTTGAGCAAGGCTTGGCTTGCGGTGGCACCAGCTGCGCGCCTGCAGCGACCGACTGGGTCTGTGACGGCCGCAAGGCCTGCAAGGTGACAGAGGGACACCTCCCTTTCCCAGGAAACACCCCCACGTCTGCACCCACCTTCCTTACAGGATAAAATCGGTTAGGCAAGGTGAGGAGAAGTAATGTTTTCCATAGGATTTGAAGAAGATGGTAAAATGGCAAGAGAGCAGCCAGATGGCCCTTTGGTCTCAGCCAGCACGCTTCCTTCTCGTGGTTTTCTGTTCTGTTCCTCGAGCGATTGGTACCCAGCGTTTGATGGCGTATTTCATGCTCAGGCAAGGAAGGGGCCGTGCAGTTCGGAGGAGACGCGCCTGCCTGGCTTGGAGGACGATTTCGTCGCTGGTTTGGTTGGCGTCCCCCGGGCAGAGCGAGCGGCGCCGCTCCCGATGCGCCCGCGGCCCTCACCAAAGTTGTGACAACCGGCAAATGTCGCCTTTTGCTATTTGAAAAGAGCTGGGAGACTTGGCCAGCAAACTGCACGCGTGAACCGTAGGCTTGTTTTGTCTCTGTATTTTGGGAAAATATTTGGCTTAAGTATAGCCCACGTAGAAACACAGTTTGATTGTGGTGGGTATCCTTTTAAGGCATCTAATTTAGGTCACGAAGCACTTCACCCTTCATTATTTAGTGATCCAATGTTTAAAGAATTTTATTTCTAAGGGGAATTGTTCTGTCAAACAAATTCCACTTCAGTGGGGGAACAAAAAAAAAAAGCTCTGTGTTCTTTTGGGAACCTGCCAGTGCTTTCAGAGCAACGTTCCTTGCTTTTCTTTCCGTTTGTTTGTCGTGCCGCCGTCTCGGCCCCGCTTCTCCCTGCCGCCCTCCTCCTCCTCGCGCAGCGCCAGCAGCCTCTTCGGGACCGCGTTCCCGCCGGTTCCTCCCTCACAGCCCGGCCTCGCAGCCCGACGCCACAGCTCCGCGCCGCTGCCTTCTCCTACCTCCTCCTCCCCTCTGCAGCACCTCCTCTCCCGCGCCGCCTCGCTTCCAGCGGCTGGGATCGCCGCTCCGGAGGACTCGGGCTCTTTGATTCACATCTAACCGCTGCTCGGGCTGGAAAATAAATCCGAATGTCTGAATAGCCAGCTGAAGATGGAAGACAATAAATAGAGGCATCTTCATTCTTCAGGAATTCCTGGAGCTCCTCGTCCTCAGCTCCATGTGGGTTTGTTCCTTGTACAGCATCCTGGGAAGCAACAACTCCCGCTGTTTAATCCTATGTTTTAATGCCGCAGCAATGCTGAAGCGGGGCGACGGCTTGGGCTGTGAGCAGGCTAGTCCTAAAGCAAACGTCCCCAAAGGCCAATGAAGTAGCCCCCAAAAATGGGGCTTGCTTCATTTTTACACGCTCCTAAAGAGTACAAACTCACAAGTCATCAGTGCGGTGTTCCATGCGCCACTTTGCATTTTTTTTTTTTTAAGAAAAGTGTCCTTTGCCACCTAGCTGAAATCCGTCGTTCTCATCCAATCCCCGTTTCACCTCTTTTGATGGAGGTGGAGGCCCAAAGAAGCGATCGAAGGGGGATTGCCCTCAAGTACGTAGAAGAGCATGCGCTGAACAACGCATTAAATGCCCGTTTTTCTAATAAAGTTCTGTCAAGCACTAGCTCACTTTTTAAAAACATTAATTTAAAATATTAATCACTGATCTGCCGGTTCGCATGACTACACCTCATCTACTCAAAAGGCAGGCTCTGTTCAGCACCACTGTCGGTGTTGATGAGTAAAAGAAGAATGACTAACCTAGCTTGATTTTGTTTTTTAAAATGCGATTTTGAAATCCCTCTGCCATTTCTGCTGAGCCAATACCTGTTTCCATGGAAATCGCAGCATACAAAACGTTGACACATTTCAGAGCGAGCGAGCTACTTAAACATCTGCTTCCCTGGAACCACCAGCTAGACTTCAAAATAAAACTGGCTCTCACATTTGGTGGAACTGGTTTACAAGAAAAATCAAACAAAGCATCTTTAAATGTCGGCCCGGCCCGGCCCAGCTCCTTCTGAACAGCATCTCCAGGGAGCTGCGGCAGCGTGCCGCTCACCGAATTCCTGTTGCAAGGCTCCTGGTGTAAATAACGTTCGATCCACACGGCGACGCGTTGAAGGAGTCGTCTCTTGGAAAAAAGCAGCTCGTAGGACCAACAAACCTTCCCGCACCTTTTCATCCCGCTCTCGTACGCGCTCCTACGAGCTTCCCGTCACCTCGCCGTCCCGCACGGCCAAGCGCTCGGCGGCGTCCCTGGCGAGACGACGTGAGCGCGGCGAGGACGAGCGCGGGCTCCTCGCCACCGCCCCGTGAGAAAGCCCCTACTTGCAGCAGAACGCAGACCAGATTTACTTAGC